CCAAGCCCCCGTTCACGCTCTGCTCCTATTTGTGTGTGTGTGCGTGCGTGTCTGTGTGTGTGTGTGTATTTGGTAGCGCGTGTGTTGATTTAATAGTCGCGGTCACAAGCATTATGGCATGTTCATGATTGCCACACCTACCCGCCCCCTGCACTCGAGCCCTTAAAATGAACGTGACCAGCTAGTCGCAGCTAACAGCGACCCCCCTCCCCCCTCCCGTCAACCACCCCCCCCCCCCCTCTCCGTCAGCCCACTAGGCCACTGTTGGCCATTATATGTTACGCTTACGGCTTTTCGCTGTTGTGTTTTCTTGCTCCGCTCCCGCTTCTTCCTCTCGCTTAGCTCTTTTTATATGCAAATTCCGCTTTTAGCTTTATTCGCATATGCGCAGTTTTTCATTATTTATTGTGTGTTTAAACAGATTACGTGTACGCCGCATGTGCGTGTGTGTGTGTGCGTATTGGCCATGTGGCGCACCCACATCTTTTTGGCCAAGATTACGGCTGATGACGGTCGCAAATTGATTGTGAAACAGGTGAGAAAATGTTGTGTAATCTTTGGCAGATGTTTTCAAGTAGCCAGCAGCTGCAAGCAGGGCAAATCGAGCTGCGCTCAGAAGCTGTTACATTTAATAGCCATAGTTTATCCAGACATAACATTAGATAAGACAGTTGTTATTCTTTGCGAAATTTAGTTTTGCTTAAAGATTTTCTTCAAAACTAAATAACATTTTTTGAACGCAAGCTTATGCAATAATACTTTTTAAAAATAGTAATAATAATAATAATAAAAAAATAATAATATTATTATAATGAAAATAATAATGATTGGGCTATATTCGGACGCCGAAGATTAAATTCCCTTTATTTACGACCTTATGATACATTAATCCAAATAAATATGAAGGCACGCACGCTCCTTTGTTAGGAAAATGTTGAAAAATAAGAGAATTACAATAACTTGCTGTTTACCAAATTAATTTTCGACCGATTTTTCCTGTAGAGCTCTATGATATAGTAATCCGATGTGGATAAAATTTTGTTCATACGTAAGGAGCTTAATAAAACTCTTAAATGCCAAAGTTAGTCTAGATATTTTAAAACCAAAAACTTTCATAAAAGAATTAAATTTTCGAGCAAACTGGCAACTATATGATAGTTGTAAACCGATCTGACTAAACTGCTACAAGAAGTAGGACAACTTTGAAGCAAAGTAACAGACAGACCAAGAATATATATACTTTTTGGGGTCTTGTTCCACATATACGTTCCACATATCATAACAAAATGAAAATACCCTCGACAAGGGAGTAATAAGTTGACAGGGATTATATTAGAATAAATGAAAAATTGTTGTGCATATAATGTTTCCCAGTAAACCTAGGGCTATTGCCGGAATGAATTCTTCACTCGACTTATCATCCAATTTTCAGCCCACCCTGACTCAACAACTGATTTACAGCATTAAAGTAATCAGCTTAACACTTTATTAATAGCGCAGCTTATGAAGATCTGTTTCTTTACAGAAATCTCTTCAGGATTTTGAACATCGCCCCCCTGTTCATCGCTTTGTCCAGCCCCAAAAAGTATGCAATGGCAAAATGTGTTTTGTTTTCTAATGAATTTTCATTGCATTTGAATTTTATGTAACCGCAACAATGGCAAATTCTATACGAGAGCCGAACAAAGCAGTTATAAACCTGCAGAGCAAAAAAAAAATTAAAACCATAAAAAAAAGTAAATGTTGCATGCAACGCAGACATTTTGTTGCTGCCACGTTCTGCACTTGTGCATAAATACAATGGCCAAAGGAAAAAAACACACACATACACCGAAGAAACGAAGAAAGGCAAAAAGAAACGTGAATAAAGTAGAATAAAATGCAATGCAAAACTTGCAAATGGCAACAAAGAGCAACAAAACACAAGAAGCGACGAGGCGCAAAATGGCAGGGTAGGCAGCAGGCGGCAAGCGAAAAGCGGCAGGGGAAGAGAGTAAGCAGTCAGTCAGCCACTTTGGCGTATACGTAATATAAATTTTGGGCAGGAGCGAGAGGGTGAGAGATAGCAATGGGGGCAGGGGGCAGGGGGCAGGGTGCTTGGGCTGCATGCCAGCACAGGCCAAGATGTAGGTAAATGGTATTAATGGCTAGGCACCCAACAACCACCCCACGCCCCCTTCCCCCCGTCGGCACCCACCCCTCTGCGGGCAGCAGTTGGCAAGCGTAACACAAAAATTGCTGCAATGCGACTTTTTCGCTTTGACTTTGGAGCAAGTCGTTGCATGCACGTGCGGTGTGCCTGTGTGTGTGAGTTTGTGTGTGTGTGTTGGCCGTAAACTAAATAACTGTTTTTTGTACTCAAATATTGCAGCACAAATCACGCGAAAATCACAGCGCGCACTCCAAAAACTTTTCGATTTAGCGGCAGCAAAAAAGAAAAATGTATATGAGAAAAACTGTTGCACATAAATTAAGTTTCGCTCGCAAATTGTCTACCAAATTGCTGCAGCTCATGAGGCACAGCACCCACCGAACCTTCAACCTTATCTTCCGATGCACTGCCTCGGCCAGGCTTTGCGGCGCCTTGCCAATTGCCAGAGGTGTGAGTAGGGGTGTGGGGAGGGGGCGTGTGGCACACTCGAGCGTCATCAACACATCGTGTACGTGACTTTGCTAACAAAAATTAACAATTTCATTAGTGGGGCCACAGTTTTCTGCTTCTTCTATTTTATTTTTTCTTGCCAAAGGATCAGCCGAGATACCCGCTTGTCGTAGTCTCAGGCTAAGGAACAATACACACACACACACACACACACGCAAAAAAATGCTGAGCTGAAAGGAGTGCTAGAAGCAGCAGATGGCAGCATAAAAATTGCTGCCACTTATCAAACAGACGCCACACACTCACTCACACACACACGCACGCCCACTTCCTCTTCCTGTCTGTGTGTCAAAACTAACGAACCGCGTCGACAAACCCAGCGCCACGCCCCCTTGCTGTGTGCCCAAGTGCGATGCCGCCCACTGCAGTCATTTACAATACATCTAAAAAGGCGCTGCGCGCTGTACGTGCATCAAGTGTGCTCCAAATGCACTTCATTGCCTCACGAGACGCACACACACCTATTACTTAGGCTTTGTGTGTGTGTTTTACACAAAGTAAATGAAATCGCACAAGAGCTGCAAAAAAAAAGTGAAAAAATGGCTCGAAAACTGAAGACAGACATCAAAAAGCGCCAGCTCAGACGCCGCCAGCTAAAAGAGCGAGAGGGCATCAGAGGAGGTGGCGAGATGGAGAGAAAAAACACTCTGCACACACACACACACATACTTGACAATCAATTGCCCAAAGTAGTTTAGTTTAAATCAGATAAAAGCAACAAAAAAAACAAAAAAACTTTCCAAATTTGAGTTTTGCTATCGCAACTGTGGTCCACCCTAATGAGAAGCCCCCAGGAACTATTTACAGACTCTCCTAAAGATGAGCGCGTGTCCCTTATAAACGATACACATATGGCCTCAAATGGTTTAAAGATATAAATAGATGAAATATCTATCACTTGATAGGTAGCAGCTTCATCGATATATTTATCGATTGTTGTTTGGGATGAACATAAGTTACTAACATCTAATTTTTGAAAATCTCGAATAGAGTTGTAAAAAAATATGGATTATTCCAATATTCCAATCTGTTATGATAGGACAACAAAATTATCGATAATTTTGGTATTATCGAAAATACCAAATACTAAATACTTTGGTTACTACGGCAGACTAGCGATGAATCTTACAATATATCGATAATTTATCGATACTTATCTCTATATATAAAACTGTTTGTCCTGACTGAGTTGTAAACAAATATGGATTATTCCAATATTCCAATCTGTTATGATAGGACAGCAAAATTATCGATAATTTTGGTATTATCGAAAATACCAAATACTTAATACTTTGGTTACTACGGCAGACTAGCGATAAATCTTACAATATATCGATAATTTATCGATACTTATCTCTATATATAAAACTGTTTGTCCTGACTGACTGACTGACTGACTGACTGACTGATTGGTGATCAGCTGAAATTTTCACTGTAGTTACCTTATGTGATGTAGGTGCACGTTAAGGCGGGGTTTCGGGAAATTCCACCCGCAATTGTGGAAAAATTGCGAAAAACGTTTGTATGTAACATTTTTGTTTATTTTCAATGGTCTTTGTTCAAATTCATTTGAGGGGCGTTTCACACTTTTTGAAAAATCCATCCCTCCTTATTGCAAATGGGGGTCGAAGATTTGGTGGATGACGTTTTGTGTTCAAATTTATTTCCAAAGATCTATAAGAAAAATCATTTGAGACGTGTTTCAAATTTTTCGCAAAATCTAAACTTATTCGGTGGAAAATGCATTTCAAAGTTTTTTTTGGTGAATTTTAAGTTTGTTTGATTCCCGTCCGATCAGTTTCGAAATCATTTTCAAAGCTTTTTGAAAACATTGATTTTATAACATACATGCCACGGGCAAGGCCGGGTTATACCCGCTAGTATTTTTAATAAAGCAAGCTTAAGATATCGTTATATAAATCGTTTTACAGAAGTAATTCTTTCGTCTATGAAAAACCTCGATGAATCGATTTAATGAGAATAATCGAAATAAGATCGTTTAAGCTTGCCAGAAAATTCGAATATTATTATAATAAACTCAATTATTCCGTTTTATTTAGACGCATAAAGTCCAACTATAAGAGACCTGCGAGTCCCTTGAGTTCGTGTCACGCCAAATGAACACGACACGCACACCGCTCTATTTAAGGACTCAATCTTCAGTTCCCACTTGGCTGCCGCACTCTTAATATTTCGATTTATTTGACTTGCAGAGAGGGAAGCGAAGCGAATGCCTCAGCTTAGCCAGTGCTTATAATGTGTCTCAAAAGGACGCAATGCAGTCATTTTGTTCCTCCTTCTGCCTTTGCGCAGCCTTGGGCAATTTTAAAGTCTGATGTGTGTGTCTGTGTGTGTGTGTGTTGTCTGAGCGTTCAGCTAAATCTGTCAAACAGCAAATACAAACACAAAATACAAATACAAATACAAGAGTACGAAGTACAAATCCAAAGTACAAGTAAATAATAAAATCAACTTGAAATTCCGTTCGGGTTGTGTTCTCGTAATGTGCCTGAAATTGATTTTCTTTTTGCCAGACAACCAGGCATCAGGCGCAGAGGAAATGTGCACGACGGAAGCGGGAGGGGGGCGTGCGGCAGCTCCTCCGAGCACACACACACACACACACACACGTCGCCGGAGTGCATATCCTGAGGGTAAATATTTGGTCAAAATTCGTGAAGGTGTCGAAATGCTGTTTGAACTTTTTCTCCGACACAGCAGAAAAATTGTTGGGCATTTTAAAAATAAAATGGGAAATTTAAAGAGAGACCTAAAAGATAGCTGTGTTGCTTTTTGGTTTGCTTTGTTTTCTTTTTTTGTTTATAACAATATAAATAATTGGACAATAAGACAACTTAGTTTTAAGCAACAATGGCTAGCAAGACTCTTGGCTTTGAGATTTTGTTATATTCATTAAATGCTATTTAGCTTTTTTCATTCCAGACACAAGCTCATCAGCAACAAATGAATCTTTTTTATCTATTGCTGAGACTAAAGACTGAGTTAAATGCCAGAATTTTATGTCTTACTAGAATTCAACCTTCTTCCTTTCTCTTATTTTTCATTTCAGACATAAAATTATCAGCAACAAACACATCTGTTTCATAGTTTGCTGAGACTGAAGACTTAATCAAATGCCAGAATCCCCATCATTGAAGTATGAGTAAGGATGCAAATAGATCATACAAAACAACTCCTATATCTTACTAGAATTCAACTTTCTTCTTTGCAGGAGCTGACTTTCCTCCAGCTTAACGTACGCTCTCTTGGCTTCCAACCACTTCCTTTATTATTACTATCTTCCCTTATCTACTACATATCCATTCACCCTGATCCTTATTCCAATTCCAATTCATCTTAAGAACCGCAGTCAGCTACAAAAAAGGGGACCCGGCATTAAATCCCAAGCCCATTGTAAGGTATTTGTCCAAATTCCAATCTATTTAAGTTGTTGCTGCCCCTAACCCAAAGCACCTGCTGACTTACCTATATGTATGCTCACTCTCAGGCTGCAGTTAACCGAAATCCTGTAACAAACTTTCAGCAAAAACCTAATTTATTTATGCAATGATTCATGGTATTCATGGGTATTCACTTAAGTGAATATTATTGCGAGCAAAATAAAAGATGAAATAATGCCGCTAAATCAATAAAAGTTTCCAGGGCTTAAAACCAGCCGGAAAGTGTCCTTGTGCGCCTCTCGATGGCAGTTGGCGACAGTCGCTAAGTCGCTAAGCTTTACAAAATATGCCGATATCCTTTTTTTTTTGGTTTTCTTGTTTGCTTTTTGGACGCGTTGCATCGCTTGTTGAGGCATTTTTATTGACTTACTTTCGAGTGGCAACGGAAAAAGTTTTTCCAACTATTTCACAACTTTTGGCGGCGCATCTTTATTGTTGTGTGTGTGTGTGTGTGTGTGTGTGTGTGTGTGGCCGCTGCTGGTTCAAAGTTCTTAAAATATATATTTTACGATTACAAATGAGATTTATTTGCCATTTCCGGCTGCATTAGCGGAAGTGCACTGCCAACTCGAGTGTGCGGCCATAAAAATGCCAAACAGCCCCGCGAAGTTCGAATCTCGAACCACTAAACCACAACCCTTTAGCCACTGCCTCCACACACAGTCACACACACAAACACTTACACACACACACACACACACACATTCGCAATGCATTTTTGTCGCATTAACCAACTGTTTTCTTTGCGCTTTTCGTTTAGCCAGGACAAACTTGTCAACGCAAATGGTGCGCCGCAGGACCACGCCTAATGCACTTTTGATAGGCGCCACAAGCAGCAGCAGGGGAGAGGAGGACGGGTAGAAGAAAAGCAGCAGCAGCAGCAGCAGCAGCAGTATCAGCATCAGTTAGCAGCATGTCCAAAACAGCAGCCATTGATAAATTATCATGTGGACATCAGCCTGGAGGGGGAGCGTTGGACCCGTCATCAGGTGCAGCAAATGATGCTGCATAAAAATAAATATAACAAAGAAACTAAAAGTCTTTCTCCCCCCCTCGCGGCGTAAATTTTTAATCTATTTTAAATGTGGTTTATGGTACGGTGCGACCGGATGATGGTTCACAGCGACCGTGCATACTTTTAACTGGTCGGTGGGACTTTCGTCCGTTTGTAACGCCATTTTTCAACGATTTATCAAATCAGATTGCATATATCAAACGTGTTTATTTACGGCCCTAGCGACGGCCCACTTATCGCTGCAACTGTTATTTTTAATGTCGTCCAATTGTCGGCTCATTAATTAGATATTAATAGAAATAAATTGTGAATGCGTTTTTAATTGTTGTTTAAATAAAGCAAATAAATCAAGCAACTTGTTCATGTTTCTCTTTCGGCTGGGATTTGATTGGCTTAAATTGTCAAGCCAGAGCTGAGGTGAGCAGGCGGAATATTGTATTTGCGCCAAGGACAGAAAAAATTTCGTCAGAAATTTCGTTATTATTTCAGACACAAAACCAGGCGAACACCAACGACAGCTAGTTGATATTATTTTCATGTTACCTGTGCTCGCAAACCAGAAAGCTGACAGCGCAGCACCGAGAGCTGAGGTGAAAGCAGCGCTGAGCGATGTGGTGAATTCGCGACCAGAACTGAGCTGAAAGCTGAGCTGAACGCTGCTCACCACAAGTTCTGTTATGCTCGCGCATTCGCTTGCGTTGTGCTTGTTTTTGTTCTTTCTAAACGTTCTTCCAATGTGTGCGTGTTTGCTTGCGCCCTTCGTAACAAGCGACCTTAAGCCATCTGCTGCTCATTATGTTCGCCTGGTACAGCGCGTAGAAAATCAACAACTTTGGCATTAAATTGGAAATAATTTGACCGCAGGCAAAAGTGGCATGAAAATACCAAATTTAATTAGCTGTTCAATGCTGTTTTGCTGTCGCATTTATCGAGACGAAATACCAGGCGCACAGCAACGGAAGCAGCTTACTTTACTGTGCATGATAACTATGCTTTCACTTAGGATGTGTGCGTACAAAAAGCTTAAAGCGCAGCTGAGCGCTCATAACATAATTCTGCTATGCTCACTTGTTCGCCTGCTTTTTTTTTGCTCTTTTATTCTTCCCGCTCTCTTCTAAGCGCGAGCATCCTACAGAAAATAAATGGAACAACAAGATCAGAGCTGTCAGCTGCAGACGCTGTGCGCCTGGTATTTCATTAGGAAATACCACAACCAGCATTAAATCCAGTTGGAACATAAAAGGTCGGCAATGGAAATTTTCAAAAAAGGATTTGGAACATAATGCTCAAAGCATAGAGAATGTGTTTTATTTAAGTTTTGTTTTGTTTATTGATTTATTTTAATAATTGCATACTTGAAAACAATTGATAATATCGTATTTTTGTTTATCGAACTGAAACTTAACAAATAAAAAAACAGATTTATTTTTTTGTTTAAATAGACAATTGGTTTCTTGGTTTCACATTGACGAGTACGTAAAATAACAAAGATTTGATGGCTTAGCCTAAACAAAACGTGGTTAAATCATCAGCATCAGCAACATTATATTAACATTTGACGCATACTCAATTAATATTTTCATTTATTCATATTTTGACTGATTTTGGCAATGCATTTGCCTGCATTGACAATTGCACAATATATTTGTTTTTTTTTTTTTTGTTTTGTTTTTCGACATAACATTTAACATGCAGTTAAAATTAGATAATTGCATAAATAATTTGACTATTGACTAGGGATAAATTTGTAGTTGTATTCTTTTGCTAATTTGCTAATGTTTATATTTGGAATATATATATATATATGTATGTATGTGTGTGTTATATATATTTTATGCAGCATTTCAATAATAAATAGATTTTGCAATTTGCACTGGGCGTCTACTTAAAGCATTAATTAAAACCGATTCTATAAAAAATTCATGAAATTCTCTCTTAACATTTTTGTTAGAAGTGTTTCGGGAGGGGGAGAGGCGTTTGCGGCGAGATTCGTGTCGTTAAGTGCGGCAGCCGCAATTCGCCGCGCAGCGTTTGCTAGTGGTTTGCGTCTGAGCTAGCGACTTATCTATAGTTGGTTCTTAACTAGACTACTAACAAGTTTCTTCGATTGGCAAGACAAATTCTTTCTCAATAAATAGCGAGAGTAAGAGAGAGTGAGAAAGAAATAAAGAGAGAGGGTATGGGCCAGCAAACGTATCTACGTTATATATAGCTCCACACAGGAGTTGCTCACAATGGGCGTGGCATTTGCCGCAGCGCTCGGGTTGCCAGTTTTCAAGGCATGCGTTGCTGTCCCACTTGCCGTGTGGTTTGTGTCCACGCTAAGCATTGGCGGCGACGTCGCCCTCACAGGCTGAGCAGGCGCAGCAGCTGCAACGCCATTCACAATAGGCGCGGGCGTAGATGGCGACTGCGACGGCGGCGGCACCGCTACAGTGGTGGCCGTAATAGTCGTCGTGGCTGTTAGTTTACTGCTGCTGCTATTGTTGGTGCTGTTGTTGCTGCTGCTGCTGCTGCTGCTGTTGTTGTTGCTGCTAACAGTGGGCTTTGGTGGCACAAAGGGCACGGCATTCTTGCTGGGCGTGAGTATGAGACCGGCGTTTGGTGGTGACAGCGGCGAGGGTGGAAAGAAGTCCACCGGATACTGTGAAATACATTATAAATGAAAGTTTCATATATAGTATAAAATAATTGGGAATTTCAAGGGTCGAAAAATATATAAAAATATATGGCGAAACACTTCTCAAACGTAATTTCAAGAAATACAAAAAATTATTGATTCAAGCTCGATCAGACGACAGCAAAAACCATTTAACCGAATAGGTTTTCACTTATTGTCCAGTTTTACGGGTGGAATTGTGCGTGCACTTACATTAATTAAATAAGGTAAATATAGGAACGCTTTCTAGTTCTAACAATTTGTTCTATAAATAAATCTCAAATCAGTCAATCAGTCAGCAGATCAATAAGTTAGAACAAAGATATGCATAAATACAGCTGTCGCCTACTCACCATTGCCTGATGCTGTGAAGGCGAATGGGCGCCCGGTTGGCTGTAGTAGGTGGTGGGCGAAACGGGCGGACTGGGATACGGCCAGTAGACCAGCGGCGGCGGATAAAACGCCGACGCATGATGATGATGATGATGATGATGGGCATGGGCGTGGGCGTGAGCGTGATGAGCTCGCGGCGTGGCCAGCAGCGGGGTATGCGGCGGCGGCGGCGGCGCGCCATAAGCCGGAAAATGTGCACCAAAATGAGCACCGAGCACAGTGGTACCTACAGAAGGAGAAGCAAATAAATTAATAATTGGAAATAAATGCTAAAAATTAAACTTAAAGTACAACAACAAATATCTGAAAGTCAGTGTTGTGAGTATGGCTGGGTATACTATATTTTTTTTTTTTGAACTAGAATAGATTGTTAGTGTGAAGAAAGCCAAAGTAAATGCAGACTCCAAAAAAAGGAAGCAAACACAAAAAGGTAGGTAGAAAATAGACGCGTTGCGAATGCAACTGACTTGAGTTTTTTTTTTTGGGATTAGTAAATATTGTTGTAGTTGCTGTTAGGGTTAGTTCGATGTTAGTTTTTGTTTAATATTATTTTGTTTTTCGACTTTTAATTCAAGTTAAGTATAATCGTATTCAAAAACACTCACCGTTTAGACATTTGCAAAATATGGTAGAGTAGACATGTAGTATAAAGTAATTGTAATTTGATTTTGAAGATATGTATGTAATATCAGTATATATGCACATATATAGATATATTTATGTATATATATATATATATATATTTACCACTTTACCCAGAGACCATGAATACATTTTGCGCACATAGTAAACTTAAGAACATGTTTATATCCCGATCAGTTTTTTTTTTTGTTTTTGTTTAATCCAAGCACCAACCAGCCTTCAAAAATGTAAAAAAAATTAAAAAGAAACCAACAACACACACAGCTGGACCATTGACAAGAACGACGGCGTATGAGTAGAGAATCGAGTTATCGTTATCGTAACATATATATGCAATTACAGTTAGGTCTAGAAGAGCACAACCAGTTCCTCAACGAGTTACACAAAAGCAGCAGAGGACCCATTATTGTTATCGATAAATTATCGATTATTATTTATATGCTAATCGATCGTTAATCGATTACCGATCAATTGCTTGTCGATAATATATCTATTGACAGCTTATTGATGGCAAGTCGATAGCTTATCGATGGCTTGATAGTTTATTAGCCGATAGCTCGACGTGGCTCTTCATTTTTTGTACTTTTTCTTTTTTTTGTTTTGTTACATACAAGATGCGTGTCTCTATAAAATAGCGCTAGGTGGTATTACGGATTACGTTTTACATTTTACGTTTTATGACTCGACATTTCACTTAAGACGTTACGCAGTTGCCCTCACACACACACTAAAATATTATTAAGAGAGACATAATATAAACCATGAATTTCCAATTGCAAAAATCAGTCAAAATTTTAACAAGTGGCAACTCGTAACGCCGTCCAAAAAAATTAAGCACCCGCTGCGGCCACAGAGACCAGAGCCCTGAGAGGATGTGCCTGAAAATACGTATAAAGCTAGACCCAAGCCCAAACCCAAGAGTTACAAATACATGTGTATATCTCAGCTGAGAGGGATGAGTGGGAAATAGTGTGTGAAAGGAAAAGACAAAGTGAGGGAGGAGAACTTAAAGAACAGCTAGACAGGGCAAACAATAGCACAATTTCGGCTGTCAGCTAAATGTATCGATTAAAAATAGATTACAAATTTGTCTACATTATGGCGTATATTCTAGAAAATATGGCCGAAAATTTAGTACACACATAGAGAGAGAGAGACAGAGAACTTTAGATTGAGGTTATGTTGCATGAGAATCGCAGAGAGAGGGCGAAAAAGAGAGAATGTGTATTGCGAGCATTGTTTATAGATAAGAATGTAGCGATATGTATATTTATTGAAGTATAAAAATTTTTGTAATAAAAGTTTCGATTGTCTTTAGACTAAGCATTAAAAAAATTATGAAATATCAAAATTTGTTGTTTGTTTTTTGTTTTTTTGTTTTTGTGCGCTAAAAACTAATTAAGTTAATCAAAATGTATTTTGTATTATAATTGTTATTAATAAAATTGTTTTTTAAGTGGCTGCTTATGAGTTTTTTTTGTATGGAAGCCATAGATCGTAAATGTATGTATTGCAAAAACCCATGGGAAACCACTCGATTGTCGTATGAACTAAAAGTTAACTAACATTTAAACTAGATGCTAAGCTATGAAAATCTTTCCCATGCTTTCAATTTGTATCCATTTTATTTTATATATAGAAATGCAAGAAGCAGCGCAAAACTGTTTGTTAGACGCAGAAGAGGAGTTAGGATCGGTAAAAGTTTTTTTGTCGACTCTCTGCTCGGACCGATTTTGGATTATTATAGCGCGTTCTACACACATTGAATATGTAATTAAGTGACCGCAAAACACACACAACCCAAAGACAATGACAGACATACTATATAATCGTATTTTGTAGATATATACTTAGAGCATAAACCCAAAAAATATCCATAACCATATATGTATTTTATCAGATCAAATGTAGACACTAAAGCGCTAAGAAACGTACAAATGATAAAAAGCAATTTGGACTTATCCCCTCTTGATATCCAGAGATATTTATGTATATATATAGACGTATATACGAGTGAGTATATAGAGCCAGAGACAGAGAGGGATAGATAGAAAAAGGGGGGAGAGAGTTTTCAGAGTTTTGACTTTAAACTAAAATTAGTGATGACAGAGAACACACAAAGAAAATTCAGAGCTGATATATATCGATAAGAATTCCAATTTGCGACTAACACCAGTTACGCACACTTATCGGCTAATGGTATACATATAACGATTTACGATAAGCTATATATATATATATATATACGCTTATATATAATATATATATATATATATATTTATATATATATATATATTCATTCATTAAAAAAGTTTCCAAAATCAAATTCAAATTCCATTTATAAATGAGTTTTGAGTGTTAGAAGCCGGCAACAGCGGACATTGCGATCTATGTATGTTAACCCATTATGAGCATATGTGGATATATAGTAGATCGGGATTACATTTGGGATAGTACACAGATAGATGTTTGAATGTCTTTTTCACTTTCGTATAGATCGCAATGCCCCGTCTGTGGCAGCAGCTGTGGACACAGGAAAAGTTTTCTAGTGCTTAATTCAAATATTAATCAAAAATGTTTTGTGTAACCAACCAATTTTACAAGTTGTACGTCTTAAAAGCTAGGATATTGTTTTCCATTATTATTATTATTTTATGGTATATATATATGGTATATATGTTTTAATCTAGTCTAAACTTTAAACTTTTCGGGGCAGGGGTTTCGATTTGTTGTTGTTTCACATTTCGATTTAGCTTTTAATTTGATTAAATTTTTTTTTTACGCATGAGCCAACACCTGACGCCCTTCAGGCAGTGAGCGTGTGTGTCTGTGTGTGTGTATCGGGCGTGTGCCTATGCTTAAATATTAATTTATAAATTGCACTTGATGGGCGTGGCGCACACTCACTCACACACACACACAGACTTAAACAGCCAACGCTCTCTGCTTGAAGGACATTAGCCTCTGTTGTTGAAGTAGCGTTTCGCACACACACACACACTACAGTACATTACACAGACACACCCACACACCCCTCCACGCACCCACACACACACACACACAAGCACATACACAATACACATAGCAGTGTTAAGTATTATATAGATTAGATTCATAAACTTACGAATCAGCTGCATTAATTTTTAGTTTACAAACAATTTGGAATAGTCCAAGATAAAACGAAAACAATTTTTTGTTGCACATTTTTGTTAGCTTGCCCGGGTTTGTGTGGTGGGTGGTGGGTGTGAGTAGTGTATGTGTGTGTGTGTGTGTGTGTGTGTGCAGTATGTGTGCGTGTTTGTGTGCAATGCTTAGACCTTAGACAAAATGCTTAAAAGTATTTCCGTTTACTTGTCGCTTGAATTTTTAAAAGACTTACGACTACGAAATTTTACTACAAAAATTTACAATAAAAAAAACAAATTTAAGCGCTAACAAAATATCTGGTATGTGTATGTGTGTGTGTGTGTGTGTTTGTGTTTCGCCAAGATGAGCTATGGTATTTATATGGATTGCATGTTTTGCCACTCAAGATGCATTGCAAACATTGTCGCCTGATAAAAGCCGAGGTTCAATTTGATAAGCGTCAGTCAATCAATCTTGATTGATAACGAACAAAAAATATATGCAAGGCCTTGGAATGTGATTGAAGTGTCGGAGTTTCATTTATGGGAAAATTTACCAATCAATCATGATTGATAAAATATAAATAAAATATGCTTTTGTTTGATAACAAATCCAAATGACTTGGAATGTGCTTGAAGTGTTGGAGTTTCATTGACAGTACATCTTACATCGCTCAATTGTGATTGATAAAGAGCAAACAGAAAACGCTAAGTGCCCAAATGGAATATGCTTGAAAAGCTGAAGTTTCAACAATCACCCATGATTGATAACAGACAGAGAAAGTCGAAATTAGCTTGAAGTCAATCCAAGCCATCAATCACGATTGAGCCCCACTAAATGCCCGGATTATAGTAGGAGTAAACGCTGTTTTGCGCTCGGGTCAAAGCCCGCTTGGCAGCACTCGCTGCTGCCGCTGCTCCAGTCGGATCCTGCTGAAAGGCATTCTCATAGGAGCGCTTCATGGAATGTGATTGAAGCGCCAAGGCGGCATTGTTAGCGGCATTGCCGGCTCCAGCTGCACTGGCACTCGGCGCGGCAGAGCTGGCGCCGGCGAACTGATAGCCCCCCGCGGTGGGCATGTAGCCCAGCTGAAAGGGCTGCAGATAGGGTCGCTGCATGAGCACAAATTGCGGCTGGCCGCCCATGGCAGCGGCAGCGGCGGCGGCGGCGCCCGGGTGCTGCATATAGAGCTGATGCTGCTGCAGCATTGCGGCATTTGCATAGAGCTGATGATGCTGCTGCTCCGCGGCCACAGCGGCCGCCTGTTGGCGAGCGAGCAGACTCTGCTGCGCTATAAACTGTGCCTGCTGCTGGGCGAGCAGCGCCGGATTGGACGCGGCGGCTGCCGAATGACCGCCAGCAAGGGGCGGCAGCGAGAGATTAAAGGCATAGCCGGCGTGTGCCGCGGAAAGGCCACCTTGGGCCAGGCCACTGCTGGACAGTGAGCCCAGGGAGGAGTGACTGGATATAGTGGCCGTGGGCGAGGCGCTCATAAAGCCGGCTAGACCGCTGGCCGTGCCAGCGGTGAGCGGTGCATGTGAGGTGGCGCCCAGCATGGAGGCAGCAGCGGCGGCAGCGGCCACCGGCGATGTTTGCAATGCATGATGGGCAGCTGCAGCAGCTGCGGCCGCGGCAGCGGCATGTGTGTGTGCGTGCGCATGCGTGTGTGAATGTGAGTGTGCGTGTGTATGGGAGTGTGAGCCGATGCCCTGAGCGCCGGTGGGTGGCGGCGGCGGTTGAGCTAACATACCCGGAGAGAGCAGCGATGGCTGTTTGCCCGCAGCGGCGGCGGCAGCAGCAGCAGCAGCAGCAGCGGCGGCAGCGGCCAAATGCGCATGACCCGGATGCGGCGGCGGTGCCACTGGCGAGCCGAGCCCGCCATTGAGCACATGATTCATATCATCGCCGGAGCACTGAAAGACCTCAATATAGCGAAACTTCTTGCCAAAGACCATGAACTGATTGTGCTTGCGCTGGGCGCACAGCCGGGCCGAATCCTCGGAGTCCATTTGGATGAAGGCCTCTCCGCTGGGCTGGCCCTAAAAGAAAGCGAAACGGATTTAAGTGAAAGGCAGAAGGTATATTTGGTGGGATTCGTGCTCACCTGGGCATTGATGACCATATGCACGCCCTGGTAGATGATGTGCTTGGCAAAGTCGTCCAGAAAGTGCAAGATATGCTCCACCATGGCCTCGTAGGGCAGGCCGCGCAGCCGTATGCAGTTCTTGGTGGTGCCCGAGGTGATGAGATGCTGTGGGGCATGGGTAAGTTGGGGGCACAGGTTAGCGTGGCTAGCGTTAGCTGTCAGCGGGTTGAGGGCGTGGCCAGCGGCGGCACCCACCTGCGGCAGCAACGGCAACTGCATGGTGGGCAACTGTGCTATCAACGGCGGCTGGCCATGGTTGTTCGACTCATAGGTCTTCGGGTCCATCGATCGATTGAGCACCTGCTGCACCTCCGCGGTCGTCGACCGAAACAGCTCAATATACCGTTGGCCAATGGACTCCCGATGCCGTCCCAGCGCCTTCGACGAATCACTCTCATTGGCGAACAGCACAAAGGCATCGCCCGTGGCGCGACCATCGGGTTTCTTTACAAACAGAACGCCTTCATTGCCATCGAGCACATGACACGGCGCCTCGCCAGTGGTAAAGAAGTCCAGCTGCAAATGACAGAGAGGCAGAGAGCGCAAGAGGGAAAGTGTAAGAGAGAGAGAGAGAGAGAGATAAAGATAAGTACACTCGGATTAATCAGTTCAATTTCTATTTTAAGACTTTTTTAAATCCAAATTTTCATAAATTCTAAATCTTGATATTGCTCTCAATCTAAGAAATGTTGTACTCAAATTAAGAGCACTTTTGCAAGCATGCAAATTCTCATAAAATGCAAAATGAAAAGTAATTTTCACTTATTTCTAGCATGCAAATTCGTGATAATGTTATGTTATACTTCCTTCAAGCAAATTTTACTTAATTTTATAGTTATAGCAAACAATTTACATTTGACATAGCATAGCTTATACTTAATTTAGGATTAATCGCCAGCTTGAAATCTAATCTGAAATCTACCTGAAATTTAACCCTATATACGAGGAATTTGAACCGGCTTTTCTGCTCGGAGCATAGCATTCGAGAGCTCGGCCGCACTTACCACTTGCTTGGGCGTACAATCGTAGGGCAGACCGCGCATGCGTATTATCACCTGGGCGCCCTTGGAGAGGAACGCCTGCGCCTCATTGGATGCGCCGCCGGCTATGGCCAGAAAGTCCTCGCCCGAGGCGCGATACACCTCAATATAGCGGGAGCCAATGTGATGTTTGTGGCGTTTCAGCGCCATGTCGCGATGCTCCTGGGAAACAAAGCGTATCAATGCCTCACCGTTGCGCCGGCCCAGCGGCGATAGACACAGAGCAACGCCGCCTCTGCAGGAGAGAGAAAGAGACAAAGAGAGAGAGAGAGAGAGAGAGAGAGAGAGAGAGTGCAATAGATAGAGAGATGTCGAGTGAGAAGAATTTCAAGCAGTTGAGAAGCATATGATAAAGAAAAATCTGGCATGTAGCAAAGAATTTCATCTGGCGTCAGATAATCTGCCGCCGACCCGCTGAACTTTGATAAGCGGCGGGGCCAGCGCACAGCTTATCAATGGGTTACGTCGATCTATTTCAAATACCCTCCCAGCGGGTCTGACGAATTTATCACGAAACATGTAACGCATTAAAAAGGATATTTATTATTTTTATGAGAAGTTGGTGAACTTTGTGATATTGGACCCTTGGCAAGAATGGACAGTAATTAAGTTCTAGAGATCTAGAGATAACATATATCTAGACAATTATCAGAGCCTAAGTTCAAACAGTTGAGTATTAATTTTAAAAACTATCAGACTTCCATAGCATATAGCTGCCATGGGGTCGATTACTTGATAGTTGAGTTCTTTTATTAATAAAGTCTTGCTATCACATGTCTGTGAGGGTATGTAATATTCGGCTAGCGCTTCGCTCTACCCCCTTTTTTCGTTTTCTACTTACTTGGCTACGTTGAGTCCGCGAAAGAACTTGGCAATATCCTGATCGCTGCTCTGCCAGGGCAAACCACGGGCACGCACAATGCAATTGCCGTCCACCTCGTCGTCAATTGAGCTGTAAAAAGAGGTAAGACAAAGCGAAAAAGAGAAAAATTCCAGGAAAAAAATTTGATTTCAGTTTACAATTGCATTCGATTTCGTAGAATAGTAAGGGGAGCCGAGAGCTCTATTTACCAGACCCTGCTTAGACCCTAAAGCTGCGCCTTAGTTATGCAACGGGGCTAGACTTGGGCGTCTTTGGACTTGTTATTTAGTTCTTTTTTTTTTGTTGTTTTTCGTTTAAGTTTCTTGTCTCAAGTCACGTTTCGTTTTTCAAGAACATAAACATTTATTTGCTGACTTTTCACACACACACACACACACACACACACACACACACATAAGCACACAGACATTCGCACAGACAGAGTCCGTCAGAACAAAAACAAATAAAAACATGAATAATCAAAAGAAGCAGCGACTGCACAAAAAGTACAAAATGTAAAAAAAAAATAATCAAAATTTACAGTCTGAATGTTTTGCACTGATTTGCTTTACCTGGCGACTAATTGCAATTATTTTTAATAGGTTTTTTTTTGCTTTTGGCTATGTCTGGGCACAGTTTTCTATGCAAACTTCCACTCTGGATGTGGCACACTTATGATTGTAGCCAAAGGCAAAGGTTTGTTTTCCTTCTCTCTTCTTTGGCGATAACAATAGTCACAATTCATCGGCGATTCACAATTCGATGCGTTTCCTATTCTCAATACTTGAAAGATCGTCCGTTCCCCGTCTACGAGTTCTTATCGCGCACCGATCCAATCGCTGACTGAGCCGCTTGTCGCTCTAGCCACGATCCATTCCGCGATTTTGTCGCGACGCATCGCTCACAGTTCTGAGTTCTGAGTAACATTTTTTTATTGTTTTTTTTTTTTTAAATATTCTTTCGTTTTTTTGTACATTTGAGTGGATTTTGAGTTGGGACTCGAAATAGTGCAGACCTTAACACAAATTTGGTGGAGTGCAGCCAAGGCGCCGAATTTACTCACAGCTTGAAAGACTCTCAGGTTGAAACTGAGACTCGAACTGAGTTTGAGTGTTAGTCATATTGCTCGAGTGAGTGAGTGTTTGAGTGTCGTGAATCGAAGCGAGGGCAGGTAATAAAGAACAAAAGTCTCAGACCCTAAGTAGTGTGCGGCTTATCAATATATTTGACTGTCCTTTTCTTTAGGTAATACTCATTGTCTATTGTATCTGGTATCAATGAGTAATATCTTTCTTCTTGATGATACCTTTAGTAAGTACTATTTCTTCTTCGATTCTATCAGCATTTCTGGCTTTAGCCAGTCGCATAAATTGCTTTTGCAATTTAGAAAACAAATTCTGTGAATGCTGCCTTTACAAATTCTATTTAATTTGAGATATTTTCTACAGTTTTTGAGCAAATAATTATCTATAGATAGTAAAAAATATTGCTACTTCTCCTAACTTAACTCCTTGCATCACAATTTTCACTTTGGCAATATTTTCAAGTTTATTAAAATTTTTTAAAATTATTCTAATTTGTAGGACTTCAAATATTCATTGTATCCTTAGCCTTCTTATCAAAAATCTAAAGTCTATTTCCTTGAAACACCATAGAATCAAAATCTTGCCACCGAAATCTTAAAATCAATGTATCTTGATAAAGTTATTCAGAGAAATGTTCAAAGGTTTTGTATTCAAATCAAGTGAGAGGTTATCGAAATCCCGTGTTGTCGAATGCGGTACTAAGAATTATTGTAAGAAGAATTTCAATTGAGTCCAATTTACACTTATTTCATGTATTCAAATTCATGTAAGAAGTATTTTGTCAATTTAAAATTCAGGAATGATTCGTATCTTTTAAAAAAATATTCAAGAATGAAATGTACTCGAAATCTTGAGAGCAAAAAGATGTGAAGATACCAATCACACGTGAATGACTTAAATGAATCAATTTATATCAGGCTATATTACAGCTCAGACAATATTCTAAGCTTCATATTAGCCCAATATTAATTTACTTCTATTCACAAAAACATCCTTATTTCATCCCGAATCACCCAAGGCTAAGTTTAACCGTCTTTAACCTAAAAGCTCCGCTTTTCGTTCTCAGCACTTACCAAATGCCAGGTTCCAGTATTAGATTAACGAGCTCATTTGTATCAAATTTATGACCTACAGAAAAAGGTTTGCTCTTTAGTATTTCAACTCTTGAAAATCTTCGCATAACAAGACTCACCCGCCTGGAGCAATGTTTGAATCACAGTGACCATATCGCGAGATTCGCGTATATAGAAATCATTATCTTCCAACGACGTTGCATTGAGCTCTACAAAGAAAATATATGGAACTGTTATCGAAGAGGGGGGAAAGGAGCAGCAAGGCAGACTCACCTTTAAGCATTTCACCAATGGACTGCGGCATGGGCAAAACGGGTGACTGCAGCATCTTCTTGATGTCCTTCAGGGGCACCAGGGCACGCGACAGATCGCCCGACTTGTAGCGCTGAAACTCCTTGCGCAGATCGCTGAATCTGTTGTAATAGGCAGGCAGCTCAACGTCCTTGGCGCTGGCCTCCCGATGCAGGCACTGGCGCAACGGCAGCTGCCCATCGGTGATCAGTTTGATCTCCGTATCGTGCAGCGATAGAGAGCGTAAATAGGCATCGAACTGTAGAGAACACATGTGTATAAGAGGGGTACATTTTATACATGACACTTAAACTAACCCGAAACAACATACTATATTATACTTACAGGTATTACCCGACATTTTCTTGGTCTGGGTATTTTTTTATTATATTAAAAATCTTTTTGCCCCATTTCTGCCTGAAGTTTGGAGTTTCCAAAATCTCAGAAACACGTTTTAAATGAAAAGGGAACCTTCGCCCATATAAGTTTTCTCCATTTTCCACCCAAGACGGTTGAAGGACTCAGGAAAATCCTTGAATATGACCTTAAAACTGCTCAACAGTAATCCACAAATGTTCTACTCTTTTCGAAAAGAAATATAAACTTTAAAGAAATGCTTTGTTGAGAACACGCTCCAAAAAAACCTCATAAAAATAACATTTCTATAGATATCATCTGATATTTGAAATGTCGCTGAAAATAATCCACAGTCAGAGAGTAAAGTTCAATGGTTCACTCTGACGAAAGGTTTTATGGGGATTATTCGGCTTTATGTAAATTCTTTTTGCATACGTTTCTAGGTTACAAATGCAGTTTGTTTAAACCCGTTTAGTATCTGTTTTTGTTGCTTTTCTTGCTGCAATTATTGTCAATTAAATGGAAAAAACAACAACAACAACAACAGCAACAATAACAAATTGTTTAGCTACAGTTTTAGCCATGTCATCGTGAGTAAATATAACAAGCAGCTTTATGTCGCATTAGTCGCATCTCTGACGTATCTCTGAATGGAGCTAGCATATCTCAGCTGGCTAAACCCTTTGTAGAGGCCACAAAGGTTTGCCCCCTGGGCAAATATTTGCCTTAGCAACATTCTGGCCATTTATTAGCCATCTGTGTATTGACCAAGCAAATTAGTATGCCAGCCAAGGCAGACACACACAATAGCCATAACTTCTCTCGCCCTTATTCCTCCCTCTCTCTCTCTCTCTCTCACTCGCTCTCTCTCTCTATCTGTCTGTCTCGGTCTGTCTCTCGCTTATTCTCTGAGCTGGCATTGCATCACGTGTTGCTTACGGATCTGATGCCGCATTTGAGTTGCCAAAGATGCACTTCTATATAATAGAATGCTATGACATCTAATTGGCATAGCTCATAGCCGTCTACACACTATATAAAGTAGATTAATGATACCCAGGTGCAGAGTACAACAAAACCTTAATGATCCCGGTTAGTTAGGCACACACTCCACAGATTACAGTTACTGAGTTCATTAAGACTTCTATTCGGAGGTCACGCCATCTACTTTATTCAATTGGTATAGTATCGGATATAATGTTTGCCTCGTTCTCGCAGCTGTCACAAGGGCAGGAACATGCCCCACGAGTTTCTGAACACTTAACAACCTTGTATTGTATATATCCTAGTATATACTTATATCTTAACTAAATTGATGTTGTCTGACCTTACAGCGAGTAGCTCCACATTTTTGTCTTTTAAATATGTAGAACCAATTCATAACGTTAGAGATTTTGATTTTTAAGATTCCAAAATGCAGTCTCTGCACCAAATTTAATCAGCATAGATTCAAATCTTAGCTTTTAGAATACAAGAAGAGAGGCATATATATCTAGTTGTTTTCATTTTAGATAATATAGATATTATATACACCTAATTTCCTTTTAAATGCATTACACATTTACGTGACATATTTATACAAAACTATAACACAGCCTGCACCCAAGTTTACAGAACTCGTTCTCAAACTGCGAGAACCTTTATCTGAAACATCTACTTGGTTCTACATAAGTATTTACCCCAAAAGCGCTTACATTTCCGTAATGACAACGTAAAAGGGCTGGCCGGGTGCCAGGGGCTTGTCAAAATGCTCAAGTAGCGCACTGTTGCTTATCAGAGACTGTGATAAGATTCCAGGTCGAACGCTCCAGCACAGCTCCCAATCAGTGGCGCTGGCCAGGGCTAAATTGCTATATGCTATATGGGAAAATGCAATCCCCAATGACTCGACAAGAAGAATCATCCAAACTATTCCAGTCAGCATGAATTATTGACAAATTAATTTTGTGCGCTTATCTATTGATGGTTCAATTAAACCGTCTTGAGCCAAAGGGTGCCCAAGTTACGAGCTGAACCGCAGCTCAGTTGGAATTATCACTTGGACTAAATATAGAGCTCTCCGGCTGTCTTACTCTCTTTCATTCTCTCTCTCTCCCCCTCTATCTCTCTCACTCTCTTTCTTTCTCACTCTCTATCTCTTTTGGACTAATCTTATCTGAAGAGACTCCCACGCGCGATAAGCGGATGGTAACGTGCTCCCCACTTTTCTTATCCCACTCAGGCCCACATATTTTCCATTCCTCTCCAATAACTTACCTCTGCATTTACTTTTCAGTATCTTCGCTCAATTCTTAAACTTTCCACCGCTATGAGTTTCACTCTTCTTTTCTTGCCTTCTCTTTATATCTTTTCCTCTATCAATCTTCTTACATTCTTCCCATTATCCCTTTTTAATTATCTTAATTCCCTGCACCTTATCTTCTACTTTTCTCCTATTTCTTTGCACTTTTTCTTCTAGCTTATCAAGCATTTTGTCCTGTTTCTCTTCTCCTTATCTCCTACTTGTCTGCTCCAAGCGCTCATCTCTCTTTCTTTTCTCCGCTTGCTTATTCATTCTTTCCCCCTTTACACATTCGCTACATCATCCTCCTAATTTTCTCTCTTCTTTATCTCACTCTTCTCTCCCTCTTCGTAACCGTTCTGCATGCCTTACCCTTATCTCCCCTCTTTCACTTCTTTCCTCTTCCTTTTTTGCAATTTTCGCCCTCTTTCACCCACTTTTTGTCTCTTTTCTGACTCTTTCCACCCTTTCTTCTTCTTTCTTCACTCCTTTCCCTCTCTCCTTTTTCGCCTTCATCTTCCACCTACCTCTTCGATGGCCTCGGTGAGCGGCTTGCCAGCAGCTTGAGCCTCGGCGATGGGCAATATGAGTTCGCTGCTGTTCTCCAAGGTGCTGAGACAGATGCCGTTTGTGCTGTTCCCGCTACTTCCGCTAGCATTTGTGATGTTATTCGTTGTAATGTTGTTGTTATTATTATTATTGTTGTTAATATTTGAGCTATTATCGCCGGTATAGCCAATGGCTAGAGGCGGCGAGCAGGCTGTGTTGTTTGTAGCATTCGAGTTGTCCGATGAGCTAGATATGGTGCGATCCTTAATGAAGTAGCCATCAGGGCGTACGAGTATTTGTTTGGTGCCAATGATCTGAGAAAGATGAAGAAAAGGAAAGAGTTAGAAAATACAGATAAAAAAATAGCAATAATAGACAATTACAATGGGGATAATCTTTAAAAAGAACGAAGTTCTTTATAAGTAAAGAAATGAAAAAAAAAACCCAACTCCTGCTCGGGTAAGTTTAATCAAGTTTAAATCAAGAGCAATAAAGTTTTTCATTCTAGAACTTACTACTACAACGATTTTTCCAATAACAGCTTTCAAATAGCAAATAAACAAACCTATTAAAATTTAGAAACAATCGACCCATTTAATTTTTCTAAACAATATGATATTATCTGGAGCCAGACATATCTAATTCAATGTATTACACAATCCGCGACAAAAATACAATACCCAACGCAACAGTGTTAAAAATCAGCACTTTGCTACCAACTTACACCTGATAAGCTGGCGTATTCAAATATAAAAACTAACTATAATTTGATTAGCCCCCTCCGAACCGTGCCAACAATCTGTAACATGAATATCAGTATTAAACGTTATCGCTAGATAGTGCACCTGGCACTATCCGACTTGGTATTCGAGCACCTTGGGGCATTGCGTCCCTCAGTGATTCACCCAGTCGTTGCCTGGCATTATAATCAAGGTGCAAGAGCAGAGCCAGAAAAAACTGTTTAACATATTACAAAAGAAAAACGAAGAAAGAGAAGGACGCACCACATTGACAGAGGGCCTACAGTCCGGCGCTTGTGTCAGCGGATATGTATGATCGGAATCGGAATCGGAATTGGGAATTGGGAATTGGAAATCGGGCATTGGAAATTAGAAATGGAGAATCGACTGTGACTGTGCCTGTGACTGTGACTGCAGGTAGCTGGTCGAGTATGCAAAATAAACAGCGAAAACTAAACATGTAGTAAACTGTTTTTGGAATTTTTTCGGATTACTGATTTCTGACTTCTGATGCCATCGATTTGCATAGCTTTTGAATATATAACGATGCATGGGGGCTACATACAGACCGCTGGGCATATATATGTATGTATATACACTTTATTTTTGAAACACTACGTAGGATTCCGCACGCAAATGCTGTATGAAATATTTATGAGTTTGCCTGATGTTAAATTCAACAAGAAAAAACAACAACACATGGAATGAAAGCGAGGAAAAAGATTTCCTCACACTCTCGTCACCAAGGGGGTTACAACTGGGGTTAGGCCCGATGCTAATTATGCGCAACGAGCCAGAGAGAGGGGCAGAGAGACAGAGACAGAGAGAGAGCGAGAAAAGAGAGAAAGGTGGATCATTTTGTCATATATTAAACATTTACAATTGTGGAAAATTTAGAACACAACGTATTGACCCATTGAAAAAAAAATAGATATATATATATGTATGATAATAAAAACCGGAATATCTGCGGCTAATAGACTAAACGTCTTATAAACAGAGCCGCGGTTTCTAGATCAATGAAAACGTGCCAACTGAGCCAGTTCTGTGTCGCGTGCCCCGTGCCGCGCTCCGAGTGAAAACTCAATGAAATTAACAGAATGTCAATGTAGAAAGAAGTCTTGGCCCGGCCTTGAAGTTGTTTTTATTTTCTTATAGCTGAAACTTGGATAAGGCATCAGGCTGACGATTTAGACCAGGCTTTGGCTAAAGGCACAAAAAAAAGGGGGGAAAAATCAAAGCCAATGCGAGTTGCACTCTTTGTGTTTTCCCCTCTAACAGAGATACATACAAATGTTAATTAACTTTAATTGTTGCCATTCGAGTCATAACTAGCCTGTAATTAACATGCCAATTACTATTGCAGTGTGTGTTTGGTGTGTGTGCGTGTATGTTGTGTATCTGTCAATTCAACGCAATTTTGCTGTTGCAAGAAATCTATAACACTTGGCATATAAACTGGCTAAAAAGAGAGAGAGAAAGATAGAGAGGGGGAGAGGGAGAGAGAGAGAGTTCACTGCATTTGCACGAGAGGAAGTTTTCGCGCGGAAGGAAACTCTTGACAGATTTTTCTTTTTTAGAAAGCCAACAATTTGGCGCTGTCAATTGGCTGTCCGAACGGGTTCAATAAACTCAACAACAATTTAAGCAAATTTAACTAATGGCAGCTTAAGCTCAAGATGAGCTAACAGGCGCTGATCTCATCTGAGGTAAAATATCGTTATGGAAAAAAAACGCTTGGAAGTATAACGAAATATTTGGAGGAGCAGAGAAGATTAGTAGACTCGAATAGGTCAACTGAAAAGCTTGACGAATTGAGAAGGAGTTCACACTCGGGTAAAACTAAAAGTTAAGAAAAACAACTAAGAGCGCCCTACTATGGGATTACCAGAACATTCTTCTACTCAAGCTTAAGAAGGGGGATGGGGGTATCACGAAAAAACATTTATATAATATATATATAACTTACTAGAGGTTACAAGTAGCCTTCGGTGATTCTAGCTTTTAAAACCTAAGATAGATGAGCAGAGAACAGTGTTTCGATATCGATTTTTATCGTTTATGGAATCGGGGAAAGTCATCGATCATCAAAAGTTCATACTGCGTGGGAACTAGGTGGAACCTCGTTTCAATTCGCTAGCTCTAATTGGAGATGTAGTTTGAAGATCGACGCGTTTATACATACGGACAGACAAAAGGACATGGCTAGATCCGCTCAACTATTGATGCTGATCAAGATTATAGATACTTTATGGGGTCGGAAATGCTTCCTTCTGCCTGTTACACACATTAACACAAAACTTGTATGCACTTTTTCTCTGCTTTTAATGGGTTCAGGGTACAAAAATATTTTTCGGGCATGCAATAGATATGACGTCAGCAAACTTTGTATGACAGATTTTTTATATTTGCAAATGCAGTGTTTCAATATTTATGAAAGCTAGCTGAGATGTTGAATAAAGCTAATAAAGGGAAAAATTGATCAGCTAGCAAAGTTAAAAATCTATTAAAAAGGTGAGTCAAATCCAACCTAATATTTGTGATGCCTGCAAAAGGACGGACTCAAAAGCTAATTTGTTAGAAATAGACAGATCGACAGAACAAAATATACCGACTAGGCATTAAGATATATAAACCATAAGCATTTGCTAAACTTTACAGATTTTATATCTATTTGCTACAAGATATTAGATATTTTATAATATTCACAGAGCTTTGGAGAGGACTTTTAGGCTTAAAGAAATAATCTAAATGGACCACAAAACATGAAAAAACTGAAAGGGCAGTTAATAGGAAATCAAAAATTAAATTAAAATGATCATAAGTCAACTACAATTAAATTAGAAGACTCTTAAGCTCACATGTCAGCAATGCAGCCAATTTTACGGCAATTAAGAAACTTTGGTTTCTGCAATCTCACGCAAACTCATCATATCACTCGATTGTCACATTGTAAGCCCAGCGATAAGGAAGTTACCAGCTGATTTATAACGAGTGCAAACATGACTTTCATCGAATTTGAATTCTAATCAACACAATATGCCCAGCCAAAATTGTGGAACCTGCGCTCTATTTGGCAGGTTAATTGCATATCGAAATCAAGAAATAATATTAAAAAATAGTCATGTCAATGCCAGACACACAGACAGAGCGGGCCGCCAATTATTATATTTTCATACTATTTGGGCATTGACTATGCGTCAGCTGCCCAACACTGACAGCTCTTTTTCCAGCCGATAAACAAGCGTATGTTGCAGCAATTTGAATTGTTATTATTTTTTGGTTATGGTCGGCAGTTCTATACTCTTTATAGCTATTTCATAAGCCATTAAGACTAAAGCTAAAACCCTCTGTGGGCAGTTAAGAGCTGTTTGATGGCGATGCCGTTGCGGCCGAGTGCGTTTAGTTTAGTATAAGAATACCCTGTGCTTATTAAATGATTTGAAAGGGGTATTATGCAGCATATAATATGCAAAGGAAGTTTTTGTGTTTTTCTATATGTATATAGGCCAGATGCGCTCATGCAGCTCAGCAACTATTAGCAGCAGATGTGCCAAATTTTGTATACGGCTAGTCACTTAGCAATATAGCATGCATACCTATAATTATGTTAATAATCTTCTTATTTCTTGAGTGAAACTCAAAACTTCTATAGAGCCTAAAAACCAGCCCAATTTGAAAGATATTTTTTCCAAAAATTTGTTATACGCACATCTCGCGTTTATAGTCTATTAATTTTGTAACTATCAAAGCATTTGCATACCAAATATTCGAATTATTCGAAAAATTTGGGAACGCTATAAACCCATTTGGCAGTCCCGAGTATCTGCTAGTCGAGCGCACTTACCGACAAATTTTAACTCGTTTTAAGTGTGTTTTGCTCAGAGATTTTAACAGTTTTCGTTTGCTGTTAAAAGCCTACAAATCAAACGGATGACATCTGGGCGTTCAGTCGACAAATGCGTCCAGCCCATAAATATATATATACATATATCTATATACAATATATATACCTATTATTCAATTTTCGTACATTAACCCAGACAAATAATCATTAAAGAAGTCTGGAACGATTTTTTATGATGCCTATGGAAAGTTTTTTTTTATTTTTTTGCCTTAATTTCGAACGGTTTCTGGCGGCATTGAGGAGCAGCCAACTTTCATCTGCTTATCAACAATAAATTTCAATTGACCCGAAACTTGTGCTACACAAATCGATAAAAGTTCGCATAAATTTTTCGATATTTTTGCAAAATAGATAAATAAATAAAAAACAATAATATATAACAAATAAAATATATGTTTAATAATTTCGCAAGTCTTATACAATGGGGTTGAGTTGTTCCGTTTGCGATGGGATGCGAAACACCTGCAAGGCTTAAAGATGATAAATTTCGAAAGCCAGCCAAAGACGACTACAAACGTGTTTGACCTAGCGAACTATGGTCGACAAAAAACACACACACACACACACATTTTAATGAAATCTAATGAACTTTGCTGGCTGCTTTCCCAACTTTTGGCCGGGGACTCACCGCAGAGATTACCATAATAACGGCCAGAGACCAAATCGAAAACCATGTGATTTGCGAAAGTCTAAAAATATAGTCGAAATAAATTTCAATTTGAATTCGCTTTGCCAGCGACCATTTAGAAAATTAATCATAATTTGGCCAAAAGCGTGGCCAATAATGTAAACCCAAAAGACCCTGGCTCTAGACCCTGTCTGTGCTCGGCTATAGATAATCGGCGATGTTTAAAAATCTGAGAGGCAATGCCATTAAAAAGCACTTAATGTCATCTACATCGAAATGGAGATGCACTCACACAAAAATCTTGCGTGTTTCAAGCAAAAACAAAATTTTTTGACTGGCTAATCTGGAAGTAAAGCCTATTGCGAGGCAGGCAAACATCAGCTAAATGCTTGTAAATACAGCTAAAGCTATAGAAACACGCTTCTCTGTATTCATATATACACACTACAAGTATATATATACATAGATATATATATAACGTCAAGTAATTTTCTTTGTCTGGAAAAAAAACGTTTTCGGTTGCATATATAGAGTCGAAAAGTCATATGAGGCATATAAGACATGGCACGCGGGATGAACGTCACGATGAGCCAAACACGCAGCTCACTTTAATACACTCCCTAACTAGGGGGCCAGGGGTTGGGTGGGTGAGGGTATCTACGTAACGTTCGGGCAACAACTTTGTATGCGCCCGTTGTCAAGCATTTTGCAAATAATATTGCGTATATTGAAATTATTGACCAGACGCTGCCCAAGACTCGGGGTTTGTTTTTGTTTTGCAAGCAAATAAAAAATATATTTGAGAAGAAAAAAAAGCTATGGAAACTCTGAAATGGAAAATCAAAATCAAATAGTATAATGGAAATGCCAAAGTTTAAACTACCAAAAAATAAAAAAAAACAAATTGATTTTCGAAAATATTTTCTTTTTTTTAAACAGCACAGCTTGGCGTAGGTAAGGAAAATAAAATGAGAGGGGTTTGAATAAAAAACTCCATGAATTTATGACAACTTTTTTATGCTCTCGAAAAAAATAATGGAAAATTATTATGAAAAGGATGCATCTTGAAAAATAATTATTATAAAAGCTTTTCTTAGAGTTTTTTCTTTATAATAATGCAAAAGGTTTACCTATACAACCTTTAAAGGTGTAAATATAAAATAAATAAAATGCCAAATGGAATAAATCGATTCAAAGCCGTTTTCCGATTCCCGAACTACATACTGCTGGAAAAATATCTTTGTATTTCCTTCTGTTTACAGAAGATTTCTCAATCCTTAAGAGGGATATAATGAAATAAAATAATTTCCCATAAAAATCCGTTGTAATGTAATACACACATGCTTCTATATATAGACTTATCTATCTTTATCTTTTAATGACATTTTAAATTACAGTGCCTGGATGGGAATAATACCCTATAGTATATACATATATATTCTATATATAGTTATATTGACCCAACAAATCTCAGCTTTCGAGTATTTTCGCAAAAAAAAATCTACCCGTTAACACACATAGAACTGAGCTTAAAATTGAGTATTACTTGGAAAATTTGTGCTTTTAGGAAAGTAAATAAACGCGTGGAATGCTAGAGTCATAATGCAAGTCTATATAGTATATATGCGACGTTATTTGTAGGGATTTCGCACTAACATATACATAAGTTTGGCGACGTTTTAGCCATTTTCAAACAATTAGTGTCAATCGCTTGGCAAACTCAAAATATGCAAATACGAGTCTGGCCAATACTTTTATTTATATAGTCGCCGGATAGGGTGAACGTCGCCCTCCCCTTACCTCTCACCCCTCACACATATGCCTAAAGTTGATTATATTGAAAGACCAATGGAATGCTCCCTAGCCCAGGCAAATGGCCGCAATCAAAAGGCTCAAATTGTATATCATTTCGATACCCTTTAGCTATTAAATGGGTTAGCTGGGCAGCTAGAGCCTTGCGTAAGACAGTTTTTGATGAGTAGCGAAGGTTAGTTAAAAACTAATTTATTTCCCTATCCTCCGATACATGGATCTGTGTAACCCTATTGATCTCAGAGATTGTAGCTTATCTTTTATCATACGAATGCCAGATTTATAAAGAAACACCTTTTCCTCTAGCTCAATGCTAATCCAGAGGCTTACGACTTTATCAATGTTTTAAAGGCCTCACTTATTTTCTAATTTATATGAATTTTTATTTTCAATTTTTTATGCTCAATTTAGCAACATTCTAAACAAAAATCTGATTGGAAATACCTAATAGTTGGGAGACTTAGTACACATGCACTCAACTATCTTATCTTGGCATGCAGCTAATTTCATAGTAATTTCATAATAATCATGAATGTTATTAAAGTAAACGTTGCAAAGGTTTTTACAGAGTAATAAGAAGAAACGAACGCTTAGCTTTGAAGTCTTTTGGCAAGTAACATAAGATAATATATGATATATAATATTGTAGTATAATATAATATATGTATATGATATAGTATCTTAAATCAAATATCGACCAATATATATATATAATAATATGTGAGGATATATTATATATGATATTGTAATTTGATTATCACTGCCACCCCGTAGAAGGCGTCAATTGTTTGATGATTTTTTTCAGCAAGCATAAGTACAGGGTATTTCTGAGTCTATTGCTTCACACTTGAGCTCACTAAGTACTTGTTATTTTTAAACGAATCAAAGTCGAGCTGCTGTCATTGTTGTTGTTGTAACATAATCAACGCGCACAGTTGAAAGTGCAGCTTATACAATAACAATTTGTGTGCGAGTGTATGTGTGTGTGTTTGTGTGTGTGCTGCCGTATTTATGTGTGTAAATTCATTAATTAAGCGCAGACAGCGCGCGCTCTCCACAAAATGGCGTCGCTCAGTAGGCGGCGCTTAAGTTGTCACTGCCCCCCTCCTCCCCTCCTCTATGTGAAGCGTGTGTGGTCACCTTTGGTGGCAGCTAAGCAGCTTTATATTTACGGAAGAAGAGCCCATAGCTTACCTGTCCCGTGGCCACTTCCAGCAGAACATAGACCAGCAGAATGATTTCCTTCTCATCGGAGCCGAGACCGGGCCCGTTCTGGCCGCAGGTGGCTATATATAGGGAGACGACGTGCTCGGGCACCTGCATGTTGATGAGGTTCTTGTCTTTGATCTCTCAAAAAAAGTAACAATTTTCTCTATCGATCGAGAGACCGTTGCTTAAATAACTTTAAAGCGGGCGAGTTGCTTTCTATTTGCTATCAATTCCAGTTGTTGTCGTTGCGGAGCTGATGGCACTGCATTCTCTGGTTAGACACACATTGGTTATACCTGCAAAAAAAAAATGGAAGAGTAAGAGAGGTGAGAAGAGCGAGAGAAGGGGTTAAAGGTGATCGGAACTTATACAATATTGGAAACTTTGCTCAATAAAATTTAAATCTAATTACGAATGCATTCAAAGAAAATGTCAGGCACTGCGAATTGGCAGCAAACGCAAACATTTGACGTTGCCAATTGGAAATTTGTTGGACCGACGTTGCCAATTTTCAGTTGTATGCAAATAGAGCGCTGTCAATTTTCTAATGAGACAACTTTGCTGTGCGACGTTGTCAATTTTCAGTAAATATGCATTTAAGTGCTTTTATATAAGCTAAAAGACGTGGCAAGCTGTTGGTTACTACGAAAACAGCGTTGCCACTTTTCGATTCCTACAAACGCAGCGTTGCCATTCTTCAGTTTTATGTGCTAATCAGACGACTTGAGCGCCATTTAACTGAGTCAAGCGATGTTGCCAATTTTCAGTTCGCCATTTTATGTGCTAATCAGACGACTTGAGCGACATTTAACGAACAAAGACTCTTAAATTGCCTCAAAAGCATGTCCAAAGAGGTCAAATTGAAATTATTAACCTGCACGACGATTTGAAATTTAATTTTGCTCGCTCGCTAGCTAACTCGATTGCCAGTCACCAGGGCCCAGAGCCGCACAAATGGACAAAGTCAAGCAAAAGGCGAATGTGGAAACGTTGGCGACAACGAAAAAATTAAAGTGCAATTTTATGAGCATTTTTAATGTGAAAAGTTTTACTTTTAATGAAAACAGCAAAACCAAACACAGACCAGCATCAAGCAGTGCTCGACTGACTGACTGACAGACTGACTGACAGACATTAAACCAACTGCAGAGGCAAAGGTCGCCGGCGCGCATGGGTTAATCGGGGCGCACAGGCGAACAGAGTGTCATCGCAGGCTTTTGCAATCGCATTTATGATGACTTTTTGTTGTAATTAAAATTTTAAATAATACAAAATACAAAAAACACAAACGAAAGAAAAAGAAAAAAAAAACATCCAAGCTTTTGTAATTAAGACAAGCAAAAGCGATTTTAAACAGTTTGCGACAGTTTCTCAGCTCTGAAATGTTTCTTTCTTTTTTTAATTTTTTTGTTTTTTGAATTTGTGTTTTTTACATGTTTCTGAATCTTTGCAGTGGTCCGCACTTCGCTAATAACTCATATTGTTTAAGCAAAACATAAAAACACTCTTCATTTTGCTGCAGATTTCGCTTCGTGTGCTGGGGAAATGGTCAATCTTTTTGTTTCCCCCCATTTTTTTAAGCATCTCAACGTGCTGTAATGTTAATGAGTGTATGTGTTCGTGCTCTTTGAAGACTTGTGCAATTTATGTTGAGCGCTTTTTATGCTTTCGCTCTCTCTTTTTATCGATATATCCCTATCTTTATCTCTTAGCTTTTTACCGTTATGTGGCAGGTGCATAAAGTGTGTGAATTTTTATATTCCCAGGCGCTTCAAGAACTCTATAATAAAATGTTCTATCAAAATAACAGTTTTTAATGTCTTGAACTGGGAAATAAAACAAGGCTGGATTGATGTTTGGTCTAACGAACACGGAAATATGTTAGAAATGCGCTTATGTAATGGGCTCTATTAAGAAATGGTTATTAAAGGTTAAGTATTGGCAGTTCTGATAATGATTTTATATATTCTTTAGTCAGATAAATGTGTTTGTGACTGCAGAGAAAGTTGTAAAGTAGTTAAAATGTTAAAAAATAACATGTGAATGTTAAGCTTAACAGCTGTTGCAGGCTGTTACTGTTACTGTTGCTATCAGTTGCAGGAAATTTTAATATATTCCTTTTAAAATGTTTATTATAGAACAATCTAAATTATATTTATTATGGGTTTGTACACATACTGTTTATTATGCACATAACTAGTAAATATTTCCCGGCTTTAAGCCAGTTTTGGGGTAAAGCCAATCGGATATATTTTGAATATGCTATCATGAAATTTAAATATTTATTAAAAAATACATATTTTCCATTGAGTTATATTTGCATGAAATATACCTATGAATGATATGAAGGAAATCTATGGCACGAGGTTACTGCCGGTAACAGTTGCAGATCATGTAAAGATGTTCTTTTACATTTATTTTTGAAAAAAAAATTACCTAGTAGACTTCAACAACTCTATTATCTAAAGCAAATTTCTTTTAAAGCTACTCGACGCACTTGTAAAAAAATGCTCTATTGTTGATTCTCACTTAATTTATGGCTCATAAATTGCAGGCTTATTGGAAAAACACGAGTAAATATTTATGATCATTTTAGACATGATGACTTGATTTGATTTTGATGTAAAAATAATGACAGCATGGAAGCCAACATTAAGCTAGAGTAAGCCAATTAATTTAGTCGGTTTTATGGTACAGATCGGGCTTGGAACCGAAACTAACCGCTAGCCGTAACACTTCATAAACTTGTTGCTGTTGCCCAAATGAATTTCCCTTTCGTTTCACACTTCAAAACTCACTGAGGCCTGACCGAAGCCAAGGCCTAGGTCCAGTGGTAAAGAGCGTTGCGAAGTTTTCACTGAAATATTAACGTATGGAAAAGCGTTTTCGAGGTGACGACGCGTCGCGGCGTGACAACCAGACAAACACACACACACACAATAAATCTTATTTTCCGACGAGTTGCTCATTAATGAATAACGGGTCGTCACGTTGTTGTGGCCTCTTTTCGAGCTAATTAGAACGGGAAGAAAGTAGCTACAACAACAACAAGCAGAACAACAACAACATGCAAATCTTCATTAAAAAGAAACAACAGAATTGAACGGCAATGTTACGGTTATTCCAAAACTCAATGAGTTCCAAATTATACCTCTGGTATAAATTAGAAATATATTCAGCAAAACAACAACAGCGAAAACAACAACAAATGCAATTAATAAGTTGGTAAATAAGTAAGAAGTGTCTCATCTTTTTTATACCCTGTACTTATTGAAATATGTTAAACATTAGACAGAAGGATGAGAAAGAAAGCTAAAGGAAATAGTTTGTTGGCCGACTTATCTTTTAATCCTTTTGATAGGATGCAAAAGATAAAACTATAACATTTAAAAAAATGCTATTGATTGGAAAAGCTACTTTTATACGTTAAAAATATGGTAATTGCAATTAATATTAAAATGAATTAAAAAAAATCAACAATTCGCGATTTATTTAGCCAATATAGAAGATCTTTAAAAGCAGACATTTAGATAAATCGTTGAAGCGGAAAACAGAACAAAAACAAGAGAACTTTGGCTGTAATTAACTTTCTTGGCTACCTGTTCCAATATTAATAATACTACAAAGAATTGATATGAAAACACTAAAGAACAACATCGAAAAAATTGCATAAGGATCGCACCATAAACGCCGAAGTTACTCAAGATTGAATTTTCTACAATATGGCGATGCGGAAAGAAGAATCACAGTTATTGTGTGGGCTTGTGTGTATTTAACGGCAGCCCGAAGATGGTTATTGGGTATCTCCTAGTCGGGCTATTTCGCCTAGAGCACTCTGACTCGTCTCTTTTAAGCTGCTGATTTTGTTGTTGTTCTTCTTGTTCTTTATTAATTGCAGGCATTACGCAAGCGTTCGCATTGTAAGAGTCAAAATGGCTGGAATGGAGATTGGAATTTGAAACGGAATTGAAATTGGCGTGTGCCGTTACATTTTTTTGCCAACAGGAAATTTATGATTGCGCACAAAATTGCATACAAGTGAAATGCCAATTGCCAAAGTTATGCTGCGTTGTCGCTCTCCCTCTCGCTCGCTCTTTTTCTTTTCCTCTTTCTCTCCTTCTCCCCCGCTCGCACTATCTCTTTCTGTCTCTCTCTGTTGCGCCAGCAACAAGTGCAGCAATTGTTGTGGTTGCCGTTGTTGTGATTCTTTGTGCAAATGCGCCTGTCAAAAGCTAACATAAAAATCACAAGAGCTCAAGGCAGAAGCAGAAGCAAAAACTAAACAACAATAACAACAACAAAACAAGTCTCTCAAAGCGCAGCAGCAGTTAACTTTGGGAGCTTTGTAACGTTTGGTGTTGGCGTCGACAGAGACGTTGCTGCGCTGTTGGTACGCGCTCTTTTATTATTTCTTGTCTGTGTAACTGTAAATATGTTTTCACTTTGTTATGTTTGCGCATCTGCCTTTAACGTGTACCTTCTTTGAGCTGCTCATTTTTTTGATGTTGTTGTTGTGTTTGTTGTTGCTCATTCACTCGTTCATTCACACTGCACACACACACACACTCACTTATAGGCATATGCATGTGTGTCACAAATTTGTCAAATAGTTGTACAACTTACAGCAACAAATGAGAAATGCCAGCGCTTAAAGCTTTTTTTTACAGCAACAGGTTGATCCTTCGACTTGCCTTGGCGCGCAAAGCTTAACTGTTTCTTTTGTTTTTGTTATTTTGTTTTTAACACATTGCACTTTGTTGTTGTTTTTGCTGTTGGCTGCTTTTCACAATTTTTTTTTTATTGCACTTTCTTTTTCACACATACATACAAAATACATATGTACATACAGTTATGTACGTGCGCACACAGAAACAAACGCAGTTGCTGTTTTTGTTGTTGTCAATATGTACATACATATGTAAAGCCCTGCTGGGCTTCTGTGTACTTCAGCTGCTTCTTTCGCTAGTCACACTGACTAGCAGTTAGTTTTTGTTTGTGTATGTGTGTCTTTCCACACGACGCCGCCGATCTTAATACCAACACGTATAAAACGGACGGCGACGCCGACGTCAACGTCGGCGCAATACATGCAAACAAAAAACAAGTCACTTTTTTTCGCCTTCTTTGCTACGGCTGCTTCTTCTACCACTTTGTGTGTGTCTTTATTTTATTTTTTTTTTTTTTAACTGTTGTTTTTGTTTTCTTTCTAGTTTTGGACTAAAAGGTGTGCGTGTGTTTGTGTGCATGTGTGAGAGTATGTGTATTTTGTTTTTTATGTATTTCTCTTGCTGCTTCTGCGACGGCCGCGTGCGTCTGTCTCCAGGTTAAAACAGCAACTGATCGACTTCGTGGGCCACAGGCAGCCACGAAGGTAAGTGAGCTGCGCTTGCCTGCAGGTGTGCATGTGTGTGTCTGTGTATATGTATATGTGCAAGCAAACCTTTGCTGTGAGAGTTGTGTTGGTGAGAAAGAGTGCGCGACAACGAGAGAACGCGCGCTCGCTGGCATAGCTCAGGTGTATGGGCCACTTAGCTGGTGGCTGATGCCAAACAAGATTCCAGCACGCAAACGCACAACAACAACAACAACAGCAGCAACAACAATGAGAGTAATAACAAGCATTTATATACAAAGTTGGCTAGATTTGTCTGCTTGCCAATAGGCTGGTGCACAGGTGGTTGGCAACGCGGCGGAACCCTTGTGGTATGCAAAGGCAAAGGCAAAAAGTAAACTCTAACCTGACAATTAATGAATGAATGCGTTTGCATGCCCACAAATGCAGCTCCAATCAAAGAAAAAAATAAATAAATAAATTTGAGCAGCAACAACAGTTAGTCCGCTCACACAGGCACATGCATACTCTCAGCGAGCAGCGGCGTAGTCAGCGCCCGCTTGCGCAGGGGTCGCCCCCACTAGGCTTATTGCAGTTTCCCACGCTGCGCACACAATGACACACAAAGCAGTTACGCTCGCTCAGCCATGACACGCTCTCGCGCTCACTCTCTCACTGGTTGCGCTCTGGAAGTTACCTGCGCCAAGCCGCTCGCGCAGCCCCCGCGCCAACACACCTGTACAGCAGCGTTGCGTGAGTGTATTTCTCTTTGTGTGTGTGCGTGTGTGTTGCTGTTGCTGCTTCTTCTTCTTCTTCGGCTTGCTCAATTACCAACAGAACTGCCCACGTACCTGTTTGTATTTTTCAAGCGGTAAAATTCCAATTCCAGGCCAGCCATTTTTCAATATTTGTATTTGCAACGCGATAAAATTAAGGCACAAATTGACATTTGATATTAACAATCTGAAAACAATTATCGAATGTATTTGCTTATCGAATTTTAACGTTTATGGAGATGAAATTCGCTCTCTCGCTCTCTCTCTCTCCTTCTAACAGCAACAAGCGACGGCAACCGACTGACAAAACCGCGGAACGTAGACACGTTTTGGTCGAAAGGCAATATGAGAGAGTGTCAAGTAGAAGGAGAGCGAGCGCAAAAGAGCGTAGAATACCTGTGTACGTGTGTATTGGAGTGAGCTGCCTACTTGGGCGCCAGCGCATGACATGCAGCATTGGAGCCCGACTGTGCTGCATGACATGCAGCTCTGAACGTGTATAAATTAAACAACAGCTCGAATATCATCTTCAATTCACATGCAGCATGTCATACAGCCTGGCTTTAATACGGCTTGCAATTTTAAGTGTTGCAAAATTAATAAAAATCTAGAAAGAACTGTTAATTGCAGGATGTCGATAACAATAAAAGCTCTGTTGAATGGAAAGCCGGCTATAGAAAATCTCCTTTTAAAAAGTATATGGAACTAATTCCAAAATCATCATTTCCAATTTTTATTTATTTCTGTAAATTGCTCATTATTAAAAAGGAAACATTAACTTTTTTCAGAACTTTTTTTTGACTTAAATAAAAAAAAAAACAAATTTGTTGTTCTTTAAAAAATTTGTAAAAAATGGGCGCTGTCTGTCCCTATAACTTGAACTCTTCCCCTTGCACTTTGTGAGCAGGCTATACAAATATTTTCAATGCAGCATGTCATGCAGTTCGTTACATGCACGCTGCAAACAAGCGCAAATCTTGTAAAAGTGCTGTAAAACGAATAAAAATAATTATTTAAATGGCATTAGCGACAATTTTAAGGATTATTGCACAGTACAAGGATCTTTAGCATACGGATTAAATATATAAATAGGCACGCGAAGGCGTTGTGTTCGGCTTTTCACAAAATAATTTCATTCTTGAAACTGCGACTCAGCTCCTTGTGCGGCAGGACAATACTGTTGAGCAGAATCTTCTCCGCGGGTATTTGCACAAAACAGCCTTTGGGATGAGTAAAGAGGGAAATAATGTTAATTATAAATATTTCGTTATTTGAATTGAACAAACAAACCCAATATGGTTATGGATGGATTCAGTTTGCCCTCGTTGTTGAACAGCGGCGGATTTTCCATTTTGGCAAAGGGCTTATTTGGATCGGGATCACTGGGCGTGCCCTCGACGCGCGTCCAGGCCCCTATGCTGCAGCCACGCCCCACAATCGAGTGCAGTATAAGCGTGTGATCCTTGATCTGTGCCTGCTCTAGGACAATGGACTCGCGTATGCGAACGCCAGGACCAATCGTAACGCCAGGACCAATGGCCACGTTGGGGCCGAGCTGTTTGGAATAAGAAAGGACTTGAGATTAATGCTAGCTCCATATCTTCAAATGATAGATATCTATATATAAATAATAAGAGGAAAGCACAATCTAGAATTTTGTAAACTATGGAAGACCCATATACCTAATTTGGTGTATCTAGCTTTTATCAGTAACGAAATATGCCAAAAATGAAGTTTAACTGAAAATCGATATTAATTTAGTATAAGCTTCATATACGTAAAGCACGCGAGAGCTTATGTTACGAACTTGTTGTAGGTCTTAAAACCTCAAAATAAAATAAAAACCCTAAGTCTGGTTTTTATATGATATGTATCGATCACAAGAAAATTTGGAAATTGATCGATAATTTAAATTAGGCTTGATGTGCGTATATTCTCAATGGGCCACACGCTCAAACAAACAGCTTGGCATGGCCAGATCGACCCGACTGTCGATGTTAATCAAATAAATACCTACTTGGAGCGCCCTCCTTCTTAAGGATACACCCTTTTCTATCCACTTGCTTTGCGTACAGGGTAAAAACAGCCGCTGTTCAAATACTCACCACCGCCGAGTGATGCACCGTGGCACTGGGATGCACATAGACATCCGGATACACGGTGCATATCAGATTGCCATCGCCTTCGCCACGTTTGTTGCCCACATTGGCCAGACGCTCGGGATGGGTGCGTTTGTAGAGCGCCAGATAATGCCGATTGGCATAGATGGCCGAGCCGGCGGTCTTCAGCTGTGACCACCAATTGGGCACCGGCATGGCAAAGAGCTTGTCGGTGCCCGCCAGAGGTGTGAGCACCTCCTGCTCCCACTTGATGTGACCCTGCTCCTTGCCGTTGCCATTGCCATTGCTGTAGCTGATGCAACTGTATTCCTCGCACTTGGCATGGAATATTTGGGCCAGCTTCGTGAATATATCCATGGAGCACACATAGACGCCGCAATTGATGTAGGTGGAGACATAGGAGCTCGGCTTCTCCACATAATGCGACACAGCACCACTGGCGCGATCGAATACGAGGCAGCCATAGTGCAGCGATTGCTGCCGTGTCGCCTCCGTGCTCATGATCGTCACCAAGGCGCTCGCCGGCCGCTCCATGTGAAATTTGTGGAGCTCCTCCAGCGGAAAATCGGCGCAAACATCGCCGTTGAGCACAAAAAAGGCGCGCGGATTGCCGGCGCGTATCTGATCGCGAAAGTGGTACATGCCGCCGGCGGTGCCCAGGGATGTGAACTCCTGCAGATACCTTAAAAAAAGAACACGTCAGCTATAAAAATTCAATATGAATATACTTTGGAACAGGATATGCTCTACAAAAATCTGATTGCCAAATTTATAGTATTCGTATTTACGAGATAAATGAAAATAAATTGACTGAAAATCGATATTTATCGAAATTAAGCAAATAACGGTAGCTTAACATTTCTCATCTTTAGCTATAAATATCCTGGAAACAAAATAAATACAAATAATAATCGATATTAATCGAAATCGTGAAGTTTTCTATAGTTTGAAATTAAATTTTGTCAGTTTTAGAAAACAAAGGAAGCTATCGATAATTTTATATATTTATTTTTATACATATTAATATAGACAGGCGGACGAACATGACTCCATCACCTCGACTATTGATGCTAATCAGGAATATATATATGCATGCTTTGTGGGCTTGAAAAAGCCAACTGTCGCCTGTTACAAGCAAAGACCCGCAGCTAATATACCCATTTATTATACATTTTCAATGGCTACAGGGTATACAAAGAAACCTCACCTGATGTTTATATTGCTACTGCTGTAGAGCGCCTGCATGTCGCCCACAAAACCCTCCATTTGAGTCTGCGGATAAAAGCCAATGATGAGAATCTCCCGCAGCTCCTTCAGCTGGACGCAGGCTTCGATGTGATGAGCTATCAGCGGGCGTCCGGCGACTGGGAACAGCGGCTTGGGCGTATCCAGCGACAGCGGCCGAAAGCGGGTGCCCTTTTGCGGGCCGCCAATTAAAATAACCGCCTTCAACATATTTCAGGTTAAGCAATTGTGCAGCTTGTGACTAAACTTTTTTCATATATTTCTGTTATCTATTAATTTTACTGATATCAAATTCTGTTTACGTTGCCAACAATAAGTATCGATATCGCGTTGCCAAGATAGTCTATCAGCTGTTGTGCTCGTGCGTTGCCAACCTTCTGTGCATGGCTGGCGATAGTTGCATTTCATGCTGTCATATCAATTAATTGCGATAAATTGGTCAAAATGGTACGCAGCTAACGAGCATGCATGCAGACACATAACATGCATACGTCAAATAAAATTGTATTAGTATATATATATATATATAAATATGTATATAATAAATAAATAGATTTAAGTACTACATTTTGGCACAATATAAGTTCCTTTCGCATCAGACGCAAACATCAATCAGCATGATATAGTTCATATATATTACGAGTTGGCAAAATACTGAACCCATTTTTCTCCACTTCTAGTTCGGTAAATGAAAGCCAAAACGAATTTATAATAAACTCATCATTAGAAGCAAATGAGATGCTCTCTTTAAATTTACTTATTACGGCTAGGACTGGTACGTAGCAAGCATGGCAATTTATGACAGACTGATTATCGATACATTTTTTGATATCGATATATTTTACTTA